TCTCTCTCTCTCTCTCTCTCTCTCTCTCTCTCTCTCTCTCTCTCTCTCTCTCTCTCTCTCACACACACACACACACACACACACACACACACACACACACACACTTTATGGAATCCCACAATATCTCTCCTCACTGAGATGATGTTGAATCCTAAATATGCCCTCTACCCACTGACTCCTCTTCTGCCTTCTTGTGTTTCTGTCTCCTTTGCTGAAGAACTCCTCTGCTACTGTTCCTTGGGTCTCAATGTCCTTCTTGGCCCCATCCTTGTTCCCTTTCCTTTCAGACATTATAGACTTTCTCTGAATGAACTATCCTGATCCATTTCAATAATGACCACACTGGGCTTGGGATTTAGCTCAGCGGCACAGCGCCTGCCTGGCAAGCATGAGGTCCTGAGTTCAATCCCCAGTACCAAAAAACGTAAAAATAAAAATAATGACCACACGGAGAAAACCCAAATTCACAGTTCTTGTGCAGACATCTCCAAGACCAGCGAGCCTGGGTATCACCTACCTACTGGGCTTCTCATGGAAGTGTATGGCCTCAGTCAATCCAAAGCAACCCACACCTTCTATGCTGTCCATGACTTTTCTATGCCTTGTCTTCTAAGATAAAATACTGGACCTTTTACTAACGATGTACCAGGCCTTAGAATCAGCCATATCTCCAAGGAGCCCTGTTTCCTTAGGGTAAAGAATGGCATATAGATGCCAAGACCCAAGTACTAAGTGTGCTCATTGTTAGTGGGGGTCACTGCTCCCAGGCTCTCAAAGACAAGGCTAAGAATATATATACATATTTAATATAATATAATTAATTGTAATATATACATATATTGCCATGCACACATGACCGTAGATATATCTTCAATTTTGATCCAACACCACGAAATTCATTTAGGATTTCTCTGCCTCCATTTTTATAACTTCCTTCTCTGATAGCGAGGCATCTGGCTCCCACCATCCCCAGCACATTTACTTACATGATCGACCCACCTGGGTGATAACAACCTCCTTCCCTCCCTCCTGTTTAGATGTTGCCTGCTTTGTTAAGCTATTCTACTCCATGTGAGGCCATTACTGGCCCCACACCTTCCCCGGAACATGCTATCACCCAGCAGGCACTCTGACATCCAGCAACAGGTCCCGCCACCTCCCATGCAGATGTCTTCTGGCCTCCCCTAGTGTGACATCCCCTGCTGTGTCACCACCTACACTGCCCTTTGCTGGGCTGGGCTGCCTCACCTGCTCAGGCTCCAACATCCCCCCACCCCCACTCCACGCCAGGCTGACCATCGTGGAAGTCAGCGCTTAACAACACCATCCACCTACAGAGACCAAAATAGCTGTAGGCAGTGTCACTCCTGAGGGGAAAAGATATTTTTTGCAAATCAACAGAGATCTTTTGATGCATCATTAAGACACTGTAAATTGGTTTTATGATCCAGGACCTTGTTTCTGTAGCTGGATAATTCTAAGATCTTATTACTCAGCCTGCCAAACTTCCCTTTTTTCAGAGACACAGATACCATCCAAAAATTGATATCCTGTGGTTTGTTTTGGGGTTTTTACTTTTGTATGTGTGTGCATTGCAGTGCTGGAAATGGAAGTACGTGCTAAGCAAGCTCTCTACTGCTGAGCTGCCCCCTCCAGCCCTGACATCCCTGATTTTAACCTGAATCAAAGCAGCTGGACTTGAAACAAGTTCAATGTCATTTCCTTAAGGAAATCACTCATCTTTCTGGGTTGACATTTTGAATAAGAAACATGTAACTTCACCAAAACTCTGAAGATATTTCACCCAGGATATTTCAGATTTCAACAAGCAACGCATTTTCCAGAATGACGATCTTGGTGGGAAAGTGCGCACACACAGACCCTGCCTTGTAATTGAGTCTGTGTGACACTTCAGTCACATTCTGTGCAGAACTGCAGACAGGGCCTGTTTCTTTCTATTACTTCAACATGTGTCAACCAGAGCCGCTTCTTTTTTATTCCCAGGGAGACCTCATTCTACACTGATGTGATGAAAGTCCTTCTTCAAGGTTCCTCTGGGAAACTGTGTGTCCCTCCAGAGTGATGTCAACATTTTCTGGAATGTGAGAATGGTTTTTGCTCTCTCAGTAGACACAGCAAAGAGTGCAGAAGAGGTTTTGGATTGAGGTTTGACCTTATCCAAGTTACAATGCAGAGGCCACAGCCTTGGCTGCCTGTGCCTGAGGCTGCTTGGCCCAGGAGCTACACTTTCCATCAAAGTGACCACAGATGCCAGCCCAAAGTCAAGAGGCTCAGCTACTCTGAACTTCAACTTCTTCTCATAATTGCATTTTAATATACTTCTGGAAGGCTGGGGTATAAGAAAAGCTCAGGGTTGAAAAGCTAGGGATTGAACAGCTCTTTGCCAATATGAGTCCGATGGAAATGCCAAACAAAGATAATGAATCATCAGGCAGGAAAGCAAGGGTGGTGGTTTCCATAGATGTTGAAGGATGTGAGCTGGCAGAGCCCATGTTCCACAGGTGCACCGAGGTTGCTGGTGCATTTACCTCACCATGGAAGCACAGGAACAGATGGGCAGTGCAGCCGATAGGAATGGCAACAGGAATCAGAAAGGGCACCATTTGTCAGCCAGAGCCTCTTCTTTTTTCTTTTCAGGGAGAAATGCCATGCCTTCATGTTTGCTCAAGCTTTCTCCTGAGACCCACGAAGTAAACATCCCCTTCCACGGTCTGGTTCCCATGAGCACAATATTCCCATGGCCCCAGATTCCAAGCCCACCATTTCACATAAAAGATAGAAAGAAGGAGAGAAGGAAGGGGAAGTGGCAAGGAGAAAGGCAGGGAGAGACAGAGATAGAGAAAATGAGGAAGGGAGGGAGGGAGGGGGGAAGAAGGAAAGAAGGGAAGGAGGGAAGGAAGGAAGGAACTACTCGGATGAAGGGAGGGAGGGAGCAGAAATAGGAATGAAGAGCTGGAAAGAATGGAGGGAGAAAGGTAAAGAACAAAGAGGGAAAGAAGACAGGAGGAGGGGAAAGAGAGAGGGAAGGAGAAAGAAAAAGGAAAGAGAGAAAAGCCAAAAAACTAGGGTTTGAGGAGTGAACATCTGAAAGCTCCTCTTGTTCCCCAGTAACCACCAAGACAGTCTGACCCTTGGCTGGACCTTCCAGGTATGTAGATCAGGAGGAAAGCGTAAATTCTTGCGTGTGTGTGTGTGTGTGTGTGTGCGGTAACATGGACAAACAGAAACCCATTTGTGAGGTGGAATTTCCATGGCAGGGAGGGGAGTTGATGAGATTCTTGCGTGTGTGTGTGTGTGTGTGCGGTAACATGGACAAACAGAAACCCATTTGTGAGGTGGAATTTCCATGGCAGGGAGGGGAGTTGATGAGAATGTGCAGGGCAGGAACATCTGTCCTGATCTCAAATGCACCATTCACATCTTCCTAATACCAAAGCCATCAGCACCCAGAAGCTGAGATTTCTCATTGCTTTTCCAAGTATGCAGCAGGATGGATTTAGAGCACTGGTATCAAAGGGGGAGGGAGTCATGTTGTGTTGTCCCCTTTGGGACACTTGGCATGTATATGTGGGGCTCTTGCAACTGAGAGGAGCATGCTATTAGTATCTCATGGCTAACCATCCCACAAAACACAGGGCATCCCCAACAACAAAGAATTCCCCAGCCCCAAATGTCAAGGATGCTGAGGCTGAGCCACCCTGTCCCAAGGCAGACCTGTTGCCATCTTCCTCTGACTGAACACACAGTCTCACCACTGCCAAGACACTCCCTGCCAACAATCCCACCCACCCCAGCTGGAAAATATTGCTAAGACGCCGACATCAAGGACTGAGACTGAGCCAGAGACTGCACTGAATAGACAGGCACCTTGTGCCCTCTAAGTTGAGAATGGCTGCACAAGCAACAGAAGCTACATTAACGCTGGCACCCACTAAGGAAAGGCAAAGGAAGGTCAATGCAACTTGCCTTTGGCCATGCCCAGTGGTGTCTAGTCAAATGAGTTCCCCAAAGGAATCAAACACAGTCACAACCCTTTCAGCCCCCAGCTCCTTTATCAACTGCAACATCTAATAAAACAACCTTGAAAACTCCTCAGTCCACCATCCCAACCATGATTCAATCCTAAGATTCTTGCCCCTTTATAAGTCCAAAAGTAAAAGCTACCACAAAAGTTTCAACCCTGAAGTTGGAAAACAATGTCTGGGAACAGTTCTCCCAATAGAGAAGCAAATTTTCCAAAACAAAGGCAAGAGGAGACAGAAGTTTTTGCCAACACTCACTGAGAGCAAACCTCTAACGCCCTGTGAAAAGCAGTCGGCACAGTCAGCAGCTCGGGCGACAATTCTCTGAAGAAGGAAGATCTCATTCTGATTGTCAAGGGCATCAGAATAATTGGAAACTGGGTGCAGACTCACTAGTGTCCTTCGCTCAGGAAGGGTCAGAGGTGACAACGGGGAGGCCACCTGTTTGCATCCTGCGGCATCGATGCCCCACCAGCCTGCAGGGTCTCCGGTTCCAATATCTCCAAGGACGCAGCAGCCTCCGTCTCTGAAGGAATCAGAGCTGCTCTCCCACTGCTGAAAATATTTGAGATGTGCCAAGCAGATGGTCCCACGCTTATCAGCAGGAGCTGTGCTTCAAATGGTATCGTTCAGTAACATACTCAAGCGAAAATCTTCACACTGATCCAGAGGGGACACAGTGGGGACAACAAAATGTGGCTGACCACCCCAAGCCACTAAGGCCAGCCAGTGAGAAAGGTAATCCAGAGAAATGGTACAGAATAGGCAGAGCTGCTCAAATCAAGGAATCATGAGACCTCTGCGAAGCTATGCACTGGGGACTCGGTTTTCTCAACTGTAAAATGGAGCTAACAATACTTCCTCCAAAAGGCTGATGAGTAAATGAGATTGTAGTTTAGACCCACCAAGTGAGAGGCACTTGCTTACATAGTTAAATATGCATTTCCTTCCTGCAAAGAACACCACGCCCTTTCTAGTGTTAAAGGCCCAAAGGATGCGATGAAGAAGAGAGAAAGGCAAGGAGCAGGTTCCAGGGGTGGAGGAGTCCTTCAGCTTCTGTCAGCCCCTCTTGAGAAGAGCTTCTCCTGTTAGATGCAGGTTCTTACCCAGGAAGTTCAGGACATAAGAACGAATTACTGTTTCCCCCGATTCCTGCCCCCCACCTTTTTTCTGGGATTCCAAGGCAAAGTTGAACAAGAATTTTCAGGATCACTTGGATGTCGAGTAGCCAAGCCCTGCAGTGAAGAGCCACCCTCCAGTTTTGGCCGCAGGTCCTCTTTTTCAAGGGGATCCTTCCAGTGATAGGGTCCAAGTAGTAATGACCCTGGGAACCATCACATCAAAACGAGAAGACAGTTTCAGATTCTGTGGGAAAGCAGGCTTAGGCGTCCTGTAGGAAGCTTTCCTCGGACTGTTTTTATAAGCAGCAAGACGAAAGAACCAGGGTAGGAGCCACACTCCTCTGAGGGAAGCTGCCCAGTGGCTCTGTCCTCCTGGGAAGAGGAAAAAGGGTAGAGAGGGGGCTTCCCCTGAGGACCTTCAACCTGCAGCCAGCGGGAGGTGGGGGTCGGGCAGCAAGCATGGACTGGTGGATGTAAAGAGCAGGTTAGCTCACCTGAGAGTCGGAAATGCATTCTCATTACCTGGTTGTGATGTCCCAAAGGAGGAGAAAGCCAGCTTCCTGAAGACTTTACATTTCCTAGAGGACAGTCAGAGACTGGAAAGAAAACCGGGGCAGTCTGAAGCCAACTGCAGGTGGAAGAAAGGAGCACTCTGCAGGGAAGGATCTGACCCAGAGGACTGAGCCCGGTAGGGAGAGAGCTGACAGGCTGGTGGAGAAGCTGGGAGGGAAGGAGGCATGAGGGAGAGGGGACAGGGTGGAAGGAGCCACCCCGCGCCTCTGTCCACATTTGCTGCTTCTCTGCTCAGGGGATGTCCAGATTTGGCAAACTGTTGTCCCTATGGGTGCTGTGAAATCCTGAGCAGAGTGACCAACGAGAGGGAAGACTCCAACGTCAGTATTAAGTCAACAGAGCAGACAGCCTCACACGTTTGCTTTTCCCAGCTCCTAACGGAACAGAGATGTCTGTCTATGCTGGCAGAGGACAACAAATTATCCAGTTTGGAAATTGACAACTGCCAACAGGTGAATGAGGAGCAAGCACCAGGAAGTTGGGCAGCCAGTTGGGTGGGCTGGCCAGGAGTTCCCGGAAGAGAGTAGGTGGGGGAAGGTGCCCATTGTTTTGGGATTAATTGGCACCACTATCAAAGCAGGAACTATCACAGATGGTGCTGGAGTTTCATTTGTGGTAGATAATTATTTATACTTAGAGAATATACAGCAACTCACTGTAAAAATAAAACTGCCTGCATCTAAGCCACAAATAGGTTGGCTATTTCTGTGCTTCGTTTGTCTTTGTGAGTAATCTTTCTCCTCTTGGAGGTGGGGAGAGCTTGGGGAGTGGGGAGGTGTAGAAAGAATGAATAACAGGCCTGGGTGATCCTGGGGAAAAGAAGAATCTGTGGCCCCCAATTTCCAGTGTGGAAGTTTGGGCTTATACCTCTGTGAGACAAGTCAAGCTCCCTAGAAAAACAACATTCCCCTTTCATCAAGCATTAGAGGAACATGGTAGGGGAGGTGAGGGAAGGAGCTTAAAGAGCAAGGAGGAGGAAATTTAGCAACCCAAAAGGCTACCACGTGGACCCATTAATAGTAGACCCCATAAGTGGTAGAATCCGTAGGTAGCATAGTAGGAGAATCCATAAGTAGTAAAGTAGTAGAACCCAGAAGTGAGCCCACCTGTGGAAGAATTCCTTTTTTTTTTTTTTCCCCTCCCAGAATTTCACTTAAGTTCCAAAGATTTTCAATACCATGTGAGTTTCACCTAATGCTAACTGCAGCGAAGTCTGGTGTGTTCTGGTAACATCCTAAAATGGATTCCTCATCTGGAAGACACTGCTGAATCCTAGGTGTTAGAAGAATTCCTTTTTTTTTTTTTCCCCACCCAGAATTTCACTTAAGTTCCAAAGATTTTCAATACCATGTGAGTTTCACCTAATGCTAACTGCAGCGAAGTCTGGTGTGTTCTGGTAACATCCTAAAATGGATTCCTCATCTGGAAGACACTGCTGAATCCTAGGTGTTGAGCTTGTGGTTATGGGAAAACAGACATTCAAGTCTTCGATGAGAGTTGGGCCTAGGGCTGTAGCTAAGTGGTAGAGCACTTGCCTAGCTTGTGTGAGACACAATCCTCAGAAAGAAAGAAGGGAAGAAGGGCAGAAAGGAGAGGAGAAGCTGGATACAGTGGTACATGCCTATAATCCCAGAACTCTGGGAGACTGAGGCGGAGAGTTGCAAGTTCAAATCCAGCCTGGAAATTTTAGCAACTTAGTGAGACTGCCTCAAAAAAGGACTGGGGCATAAAGAACGAGAAAATAGATTCATTCATAGGAAAATGGATACATATTGAAGATATACTCCTAAGTGAAATAAATAAGTCACACATGTGTAAATACCGAATAGTTTCCCTGGTGTAAATAATCTGCAACAATGCATAAGATTCTAATAAGATTACTGACATTTAGAAATGGGAAGAAAGGAGCTAAAGGTGTGGGGAAGGTGGGATGGGTAGGGGAAGAATAAAAAGGGAAAAGAAAAAAATGTGAGAGAATGAAAAGATGAAAATAAAGTGTTTGTAGATGGGGAGGGGAGGAGGGGGTGAAGGGAGGGCAGAGGTAAGGGGAAAAAATGAGAATCAAGATTTGTCATGTAGAGGTACAAGATCCCAACAATGAATGTGACTGTACTGTATCCCTAAAATGTACCAATAAACTCAATTAAAGCTGAAAAAAAAGGGCTGGGGAGGTAGCTTATAGTGCAGAGGCCTTGAATTCAATCCCCAGTACCAAAAAAAGAAAAGACGAGAAAGAATCAAGCAAGCTGAGAGAGCTGGCAGAGCAGGCGAAGAGTAACGTGAGGGTCAGAGCAGAGTGCTCATTTCCATAGAGAGATGGCTCCAGACTTAGGTCTGCAAATGGTAGGAAGCTAAGGATAAGTTGTCTTGGTTCTGCAGTTGGGAGCAGAACAACTTCAGGTATGCTAGCAATTTGGACTTGCAGGCTTGAGCAGAGTGCTGAGTGGTCCTGCACCCCATCTGTCTGATTGACAGGCTCTCAGAGCAAGTCTGGTCCTGTCCTCTGCCCTCTGGTCCTGCCACAGAATCTTCAAATCTTAGTGGCCAGATAAAAGTCTAAGATAAAACCCTGAGAACAGAACTCTTCCCTGCTGATCTGGTCCCCGTCAGCCTTGGGGAATCTTCTCTGGGCTTCTCTCCCATGCTGCACCGGGATTGGCTGGGTCTATCCCAAGCAATGAGCTTCACTTTCCATGCACAATTCTTATACACCAAGTGTGAAAGGGAAGTGGCCCTCCTCCCCTGTATGGTTGCTTCCCTCCTGCTAGGCAGCCTCCAGACAGGCCACAGTGAGGTGCTCTGTGGGAGAAGCCACAGAGGCATGAAAAGGGGAGACAATCACTTGGGACAGGAGGAGGTAGCCCTCCTGGGTAACTCAGAAGGATACAAACAGATTGCAGGTGCAGACTGAACTCAGCACCCAGAGGCAAAGGCCCAGCCCAAGGCCCTTGTTCCCCTAATCCCTCACTAGTATTTAGAATCTGTCCAAAAGGAGACACTCTTTCATTCAGTACCCTGCAAAGGATGTGATGTGGCCCAGAATGGGAGATAGTTCTGATCAAAGGACCCAGTCGCCTCCTATAGGGGCCTGCAAAGCTGCCAGTGACCAGCAAGACCACAACAGCATCCAACGTAAAATACATAAATGCTCCTCAGAATTATCAGGTACAGTGCTATATTATCTTTACAGGGCTAGCCAAAGTTTATAGCAGAAGATAATTAGAAAATGAGCTGGGTGTGGTGGTGCACACCTGTAATCCCAGCGCTCGGGAGGCTGAGGCAGGAGGATCACCACAAGTTCGAGGCCAGACTGGACTACACAGTGAGTTCAAAACCAAATGAACTACATAGTGAAAACTTGTCTCAAAAAAAGAAAAGAAATCAAATGAGGCCCCAGGAAACATGGTCCCACACAGTGTGAGGGAGGGGCATGCTAGGAGCAGGGCAGGACTGGGAACAGCCAGTCTCATCTCTTAGTGGAGTATCTGGACCTGCCTAAAGGGATTTGCATGCTCTAATAATTTCCAGAAATAACCTCACCCCTAGTAATTCCACTCCCCTCCCTCTTATACCAAGAGTCTTCGTGGACAGGGCCCCTGACTTGTGGAGCCCTTTGCCTAGTTAAGGTGATCTCTCCAACAGTGACGCACAGGAGTCTTCATTAACCCACAGTATAAATGCAAGAGCCTCGGGACACTTCAGTATGATCACTTCTGTTAGATCACCTGGGTTTAATGTGTATGAGCGTGCACCCATCCCATCTCCACTTAAACAGTGTCTTGATTACTACAGTGATATGGTGGATCCCTGAAATTTCTTGTTTTTTTCCTCCACAGAGTCACACGAACACTTTTAGATGTTTAATACTTTATTCCCATTTACA